GAGCTGCGGCCGCACTGGAAGCCTGAGCAAGTTCGGACCAAGGTAGCGGGGTGGGCGCGGGCCGAGGATGGGGCCCTGCCGGGGCTGCCGCGGGCTGCCTGGACGCCTGTCCACGCACCCTTCTGGGGTGGGTCGCGGAGGCGCGCGGTTGCTGCGCGGGAGAGACTGAGAACGTGGTCTGTGTGCGTGTTTGTTTGTTTCTCCATCTATTTCCGTCCCTGAGCAGAGCTAGGCTCTCCCCTCGCTTGGCCCTCCGCACACACCCCTCCTCCTGGGGCTCGTGGGCGCGCCGGAGGTCCACCTGCCCGCTGTCAGCATGCTGCGTGTGCGGGCCCCACCCCCTGTCGCTGCGTGCTGGTGCCCCTCGCTGCCCAGAAGCGCATACCCAGTCAGCTCTGAGACCCGAGGAGGTAGGAACTTTTAAGGGAACCCCCCCCACACACACACATTGCTGCCCCTTCTCCATCCAATGGTGGGAGCAAACGCTTCAGGCTCTGAGCTGCCTCCGCGTGTCCCAGGAGCCACCCTGTGGAATTCCGGTCAGCGCCCAGTCCCTCACTGTGGTTGCAGGCTTGAGCTCAACACCCCACAACCAGGGTGTCTTCTCCACCCTAGCTGGGCATATTCTCCAGGACACACCTGTGGGCAGAGCCTCCCACTGAGGCTGACTCCCCAGCTGACCTGTATTCTCAAAAAAAAAAGCGTTCACCTGCCCACCTGCCCCTGCCCCTCTTTGGGCTGCCTGTGGAGGAAAGTGCTGAGTGGGGCACTTGCAGCTTGTGCCGGAGTGGTACATGGCACTCCATGCACTCCATGAAGATGGGCATTCAAGGTGGTGATGGCAAAGTTCTGAGGAGGTTCCAGACCAAGTGTGGAGGCTGACAGACCTCTTCTGGGGAGAGGGTTGCATTTGCAAAACAAAAGATTCAATTTGGTGTAAAACTGTCCAGCTATCAAGCAAGCCTGCAGTTAATTTCAACACTGACCTAACAAGTCATCTGCCAGTCTCTTCCCCCTCTGGGCCTCAGTTTCCCTACCTAGAGTTGGTTCAGATGTCCTCAAACACCCCTTCCAGCTCTGTCATATTGTGCCCCATAAATCTATGGCTCCTTTCTCTTTATCACCCTGCCCAGCGAGTCTGCATTCCCAGCTCAGTTGTCTCCTGTCTCTTCGGGTATGGAACTCAGAGGCCCTAATGAACCCTGACCACCAAAGTCCTGAGATGGGTGCCAACCTCAGTACCCCCTTGCACCTCAGCTGCTAGATGGGGCAAGAGGTACAGTAGAGCCCTCTGCCTGGCAGGAGGTGAGAAGCAGCTGGTCAGGGGTATACTGTCCTGGGCAACTCTCAGCCCTCTTCTACCACATTCTGGTCCACGGGGTTTCTTTCAAGACTGGGATGGAGGAGGAAGGAGCGAGAGGGGATTTCTACCCAGCAAATAGTGTGGAAATCCCTCCACTATAGGCAGACCCAGGAGAAGCAAGTGTTCCTGGGCTGAGCCCAGGCCTCCATTTTTTTCTTGAACTCTAGAACTGGAGATCCCCAAGGTTGGGGACAGGGTAGAACATGAATGACAATATGTGTGTTGTGCTCAGCATTCAAATGAGCACTTCTCACTTGAGCTGGGGAGCCCTTGGGAATAGCCAGAGAAATCCTTACCCGCCCACTCACCCACATGCTGCCCTCTCCCCATGCCAGCGCTTCACCGATGGTATCACCAACAAGCTCGTGGCCTGCTACGTGGAGGAGGACATGCGGGACTGCGTGCTGGTCCGTGTGTATGGGGAGCGAACGGAGCTGCTGGTGGACCGGGAGAATGAGGTCAAGAATTTCCAGCTGCTGCGGGCTCATGGCTGTGCCCCCATACTCTACTGCACCTTCCAGAATGGGCTATGCTACGAGTACATGCAGGGTGTGGCTCTGGGGCCCGAACACATCCGTGAGCCCCGGCTCTTCAGGTGAGGAAGGTGCCAGGGCCTTCATCTCTATGATTTTTCAGGCCCTGGGCCTGGAAATCCTTGGCCAACTTCCTTGGTGCAGATTGGGATCCATGGAGGAGAATTATAAGATCTCTGAGCTTCCTGAAATTGCATGGTGTGTGTGTGTGTGTGTGTGTGTGTGTGTGTGTGTGTGTGTGTGTGTGTATACATTGCTTTGCAGAAAGGAGCTGGAGCATCCTATAGATTTTCAGCGGGGTCTGCTAGAAGGATGGGTTCTGTGGAAGGAAAGTGAGAATTCTGATGAACATGTGGCCAAAGGGTTCCCTAAGTGCAGCAGAGTCTGCTTTCTGGCCCCATGCCTCAAACCTCTGCCCATCCCAGTCTGACCTGGAAACATCTCAGAGCCTTAGAAATGAAATTGGAGCCAAATCCCCAGGGCACTCAGGGTTTTCTGCCTCTCCTCTCCTGCTAAGAGCTCAGGTGTGCAAGGAAAATGGGCCCCATCCAGGTGGGCATGGTTTTACCAGCTCAGGGAGATGCTATCTCTCCTGCTGGTCTGAGCGCCTTCTGGGCTCCCTGACAACGTGGGAACCCAGGTTTGGAGAGCTGCCGAGGCCTCCTTCCAAAGGCTCACAAAAAGCCGTGGCCCCCAGAAAGTCCCTTCCAGGAATTCCTTGGATATGTAGGGCCCAGGAGCTGGACTTTTCCTTCAAGTCCTCAGGATGCTGCTGTGGGGCCTGGAAGGGGGAAAACCAACAAAGAACCCTGAGTCTATTCCCTCTCCTCTGGCTGTGCCGGGATGGGGTTGGCAGGTGGCATCCTCCTTCCTCCCTCTAACACCATGGCCCGCGTGGAGGGCACTCAGACTGGACTGAGACTGAGGCAGGCTGAAGTTTATGCCTGACACTGGGGACAACGGCACAGGGGTCTGCTTAAGATCTTGGCATCTGCACTGTCCAATCCAGGGAAGGGGGCTCGGCCTACTGAAGGGAAGCAATGAGGCTCACCTGGGGGTAGACCAAGAAGCTTCTTTGCTCCCTCACCTGTCACCCACTTAGCCCCAAGGAAATGTACCTGGCTCTGTTGGCACACGCCTCCTTGCTGACCCCCCAGGAACTTGGGAGGAGGGAATCTGAGAGTCCCTCTACCCCCTGCTCCTGGGCTGGTCGGAGCCTCAAGGTATTTGAGTGGTGTATTGTGGCTGTGTGTGTGTGTGCGCGCCCCGTGCAGGGGGCATGAGAAGCATACAGCCCTGTGAGGGGTCTCCTCAGGCTCCAGCTGAGAGCTCCAAAGGTGTCCTGACTGGAGATGTGAACTCAGGTGCGGGGGACCCTGACCTAGCCTCTCCCACCGTACTCCTCCAAGTTCTTCCTCAGTCTGGTGCAAATAAGCTCCTAGATCGTGGCAGGTCCTCACCACTCCCAGGTTCCCTCCACCTCTATGAATCTGAGGCTGTCACTCATCCTCTCATGCAAACAATTACCACTGTCAGGAAGATTGAAGATGGATTTAGGTTCCAGAAGAACTTGGCTTGGGGGAGAGCCAGAAATGGGGATAGGTGTAGGAGGTAGACTGTTCCTTGATGCCTTTCGCAGGAATACACCCTTATTCCTCTGGGTGGAGGTGGATGTCTGAGGGCCAGGCTGGGAAGGGAAGGCTTCCCTGTATTCCCCTGAACCCCACCCCCCAGTCTCTGCCTGCTGAGGCTTTGCAGTGTAAAAATGCTGAGTGTTGAGGTTACTTTCATTGCTATTCCAGACAACAGCCCTATTGATATTCAAGGAAACGCTCTGTTCATGCTCTGTTCAGGAATCTTCCTTTGGGAAGGGAAGGCCTGGGTCTCAGGTCTGTTTCCCTGCTTTGCCCAAACCCTGGCGGCCCCAGGGCCTCTGGCCTCTGAAAGCACAGCCTTCCTCTCTCACCCAAGCCGTGGCTGCCACGCCCCCTTCCCCCTCCACCCTTAAGGAGGTGGAGGCCTTGGGAGCTTCCAGAGGAGCCCCAAAACTGTCCTGATATCCCAAGAGGGTATGGCCTGCCCCTTCCCAGGGCCTACCAGGAGAGAGGGTGTCCCTGGGACCGCTCAGTAACAAGGTTTCCAACAGCCAATGCCTTTGTTGTCTTTCCCAGTGATTATTATTCGAGCAACAGGCAGAGGCGAAGGAAGCTTGAATGTTGGAGGCTTGGCAGACGGTTGGGGGGTGGGGCTGCAGAAGGGAGGACTGGCAGAGGACTGGGAGAGTCCAGCTGGGACACAGGGCCCTGGGGCGATGGGGTCCTTATCAAGGCCTTCCCTCTCTGCCCGGTCAGCCCTCCACTCACCCCCGCCCTCTCCCGGCAACCTTCCCTACCGCCCACTCTTTCTCTCCCAGGACCTTGGATAATGTCCACAGGAGAACTTGAAAATAGAACGCTGGTTTGTTTTGCGTCCTTGGCACCCGGCCGCCAGCATCAACTCCCTGTAGCTGAGGAAGGGACTGCCCCCCGGGCCAACTTGTTCCTCTCCCCACCTTGGCCAGGCTGATAAGAGGCGAGCATTTCTTCCCTGCCTGACATCACTACCCCCTGAGCCCTGGGTGTAAAGTGACCCGTGTTCGCTGCTCCTGAGAGGATGGGTCAGAGTCCAGAGAGAGGAGGGGCCCACCCCCATCGCCAGGTGCCCCTCTGTTCTCAGGAGCTGCTGTGGGTACACTGTGTGGGGCAAGGCCACTGACCTGTGGCCAGCAGCCCGCCACTTTGCCCCTCTGCTCCCTGAAGCAGCCCAGTTTGGCATTGGAAAGGAACTGCTAGAATAAGTCTTTTTTTCATTTTCCTTCCTTCTGCAGGACCTAGGTTCCCAAGAGACTTGTACTAATCCCACCCATGACTCTCTGGCTAGTACCCTGGAGGGCCCCTTTCTGGTCAGGAGGGGCTGAGCGGGGAGGGAATGCCCCAGCACTGATTCTGCTCTTCCTGTTCCTGCTGTAGGTTAATCGCCTTAGAAATGGCAAAGATTCATACCATCCACGCCAACGGCAGCCTGCCCAAGCCCACCCTCTGGCAAAAGATGCACAATTATTTCACGCTTGTGAAGAACGAGATCAACCCCAGGTACAAAGATCTGGGAGGGTCCGAGGCTACCACTGTCTGTACCTCCTTCATATGACAAACCCCTCTACCCAGGTCTTCTGGCTCTCATTCAGTCCCAGCTACTGAGCCTCTGTCTCCAAACAGAGCTGGGCAGATTGACTGGATCTCAGAAACTTAGATCAGCAGTTTTATACCTAGGCCACTTATTTCTCCTCGATTCTCTGATTACGGCAGGGACTAGGGTCGAGGACATCTCCCCATTTTACTTACAGGATACTGAGGCTCAGAGACTGAGCTTTGCCCAGGGTCACAGGGCTTTGAGAGGCAGGGCTTCTGTTTCCCAACCCAGGGCTCTTCCCACCTGAGCTGCCTTCTGAAGAGCGCAGTGCAGGGCCCACTGAGAATGGCACAGGACACAACTGAAAGTCAGCCAGAAGAACTAAGCAGCCAACCAGTCCTTGGGACAACAAGCTTCCTGAGACTTGCCTAGACTCTCTTGTCTCCACCTTGTTCAGACTGACAACCTGCTGTTGCTTCACTGCCCTTTCCAGGAAAGGAGGTGTACTTCCCATCCTGACATTGCGTGTCCCTAAGAAAATGGGTTTCCCTGAACTTTCTCTGAAGCGTCCTGACCAGCAACCTGAGAGTCCTGCTAGCCTTCAGATACCAACACACCACACCTTTCTGGAGGAAAGAGTGGTTTCTCCCCTTCCCCCGCCAAAAAAAAGTCACTAGTGAGTCTCTGATCCTTCCATGCTCCCCACTGGGGTGGAACATCACCTGTGTTCCCGGTGCTCATGGGAGTAGGGTGCAGAAGAAGTTTGGAGAAAGGGCATCTCTTTCCTCTTCTAAGATGACAAGGTAATAATTAACTCTTAAGCCGGGCTCAGTGGCTCAGCCTGTAATCCCGTGCCTTTGGGAGGCTGAGGTGAGTGGATTGCCTGAGCCCGCGGGTTCGAGACCCGCCTGGGCAGCGAGACCTCATCTCTACAATAAATCAAAAAATCAGCCGGGCGTGGTAGCGCATGCCTGTAATTCCCGGCTACTCGGAAGGCTGAGGCAGAAAGGATCGTCGGAGCCCAGCAGGTCGAGGCTGCGGTGGCCGGGAGTGGCCACTGCACTCCAGTCTGGGCGACAGAGTGAGACTCCAACTCAAAAAAAAAAAAAAAAATTAACTCTTTCCCAATGGTGAGTGCATCTCTGTCACACACGCATGTGCGTGACTTTATGTGCCTCCTCCCACTTAATAGTTATCAGGCACTGCTTTGGAACTGTTTATCCAGGGTGGCCCATGTCTGCCCTCTTTTTGACCATGTTCAGACCTTCTACGTCAGATATTCTCTCTGGGACAAGGACTCTTGTTTCCTTCAGGACTAGAACAGCGCATGGAGAACTTCCAGTCCTTCAGCCCACTGCTTTCAGTTGACAGTGGAAAAACTGAGGCCCAGAGAGGGGATGGGTCTTACCCAAGGTCATTGCTGATCAGCGGCAGTTCAGGGACTAGACTAGAGTCCAGGTTCTGGAGTTGAGATATGATCCTTGGTCCTGCAGCTTCCTTTGTGCTGTCACTGTGTGTAACCTTGTCACTTTGTGCTGTTGTTGGGAGGGGAGTGGTCCCTGGAGGAGAGCTGGCCAACTTCTTTTGCTCTTGTCGTATCTTTGACTTTGAACGAATCAAGTTGCTTAACTTCTTTGAACCTCTTTAGGGAATGATCCCTGCCCTAAACTGCCTAACTTTCCAAAAGCAGAGCAATGATGAGCAATCATTTAGATGAGATAAAGTACCTTGAGTGCCAGTCCTTGCCTAATAATCCTGATTTATTCAATTCTTCATTTTGCAGACATTGATTGACTGGGATTTAAAACAATAAAAATGAACAAGACATTGACCCTGCCCTCAAGAGTTTGGGAGCCATCTGGGTAAATAGGACACACCCATGCGTAGCTGCAAAAGAGGGCAGGGTGTGTAATGTAGGCTGGGGGTGGGAGAACCAGGTGAGGCTTCTTGGGAGGGATAGCCACGGATGAGAAAGCAGGCCTCTCCAGGAGATGGATTGAGTAGGGTTTGCTCATGGTTGATGAGTAGATGAGGCTAGCTGGAGCAGAGCCATGGGAAGGGCCTGGGAGAGGTTGTGTGAGAGAGGGCTGCAGAGTTGGAGCTACATGACGAGAGGCCTTCAGTGTCAGACTAAGAAGCCAAGATCTAATTTAGCAGGCAACGGGAAGTCACGAAGGTCTTTAAGCCAGAGACTCAGGTCAGTTATCTGACTAGGACTGGGCTTTAGGAAGAATGTCCTCCAGCATTGTAAGAGACCGATTGGAGGGCAGCATGGTGAGGGGGCAGATTTGAGGAAGGGAGACCAGCTCAGGAAGTGATGTAACTAAGTGAACAAGATCTAGACGAGGGTTCCCAAATTTTGAGCATGAGACCCATGGAGTGCCCAACCTTGGAGGCAGATTGAGAGGTCTCGCCTTAAGCCCTAGGAAGCTGTCTTTTTGGTGGGCTCCCCAGGTGATCTGAAGCAAGTGATCTAGGACCCACATTTTGAGGAATTTTCCTGAGGACAGCTTGGGGGCAGCGGCTGAGAATAGGAGGATGTGTCAGAAACCCATAGAAGTAGATTTGATAACTTAGGTGTTTGGTTGGATATGGAGTATCCAGGGTGGCCAGGAGAACGTGGGACTGATTGCTGGTTCAGGGCCATCACGAGGAGATGCTGATGGGCTGGTTGGCAGGAGGGCAAAGGTGATAAGCCAGTCAGCTCCAACACATAGGAAGTCCCCTGCGGAGAGAAAGTGTTTTCACCTTGCCTGGATCCTAGGAACAGAGTGGAGACTTGCCAGGCAGTATTCCCTCTATCTGGAGAAACCCCAAGGCTTCCCTGGGGAGCCTCTGTCTGACCCCCACCCCACTCACCCCACCCACCCCGCTGCTGTCTCCGAGAGGCAGAGGAGCAGTTCTTCCCGGGCTGTGTTAATGGGATGTGGCGGTGGTTACTATTCTGCGGATCCCACAGCCTTGAATGCGCCTGGTGGTGGTAGGCCTGAAGGTAGTGAAGCTGGCGAGGTTTCAAGTGCTCAGGGGAGGAAAGCAGAGCCCTGAGGGAGGCCCCCAGGGAGATAGAAGGCTAGGATTGTTTCCACAGTAACCATCTGTGTGGCCTTGGGGTGGGCAGGGTGGGGGTCAGATAGAGGTCAGGGACTGAGCAGCAGGCATCTTGGATATCAAAGACAAGCTTTTCAGGATGGGACCTGGGCTAACCAAAGGAAGCTCCTTAATTCTTATCTTTTGATGGTCTCAGTCCAAGAAAAAAAGAAATCCTTTCTTTCTTTTTTTGAGTTGGAGTCTGTCGCCCAGACTGGAGTGCAGTGGCTGCTCCCGGCCACCGTGATCCTTCCGCCTCATCCTTTCAAGTAGCTGGAACTACAGGCGTGCGCTACCATGCCCAGCTAATTTTTTTGATTTTATTGTAGAGATGAGTTCTCGCCAAGTT